TGCAGAGACAGTAGAATAGGAGTGACGTGAGCTCTTCAGTTTGCTCCAGTTAGGAGCCTCGCTGCAGAGTTCTGGCCCAACTGAAGGCGGTCAAGGGCTTTTTGTTGAAATATGTGAAGAGTGTGTTACAGTAATCTAGACGGGAGGAGATAAAGGCATGGATATCTATGTCAAGTTCATGTTTTGACACCAAGCATTGCAATTTGGAAATATTTCTTAAGTGATAAAAACAGTTTCGGACCAACGTTTTTGAGTGATTTTCAAGAGACATTGATTGGTCAAAAATAACACCCAAATTCCTTAAGTTTGTCTTGACGGCGGAGGCTAAATGACAAAGTTTTAGACGAATCAGGGGAACCATGCTCTCAGGGGCAATGAGCAGACATTCAAAAGAAGAGGTGAGCTGGAAGCCAGGAGAGAACGATGGGTAGTGAGTTGGCCACCACTGCTGACCCAACATCAGGAGGGTGAAGTTGTTTAGGCTCCAAATACCCAATAAACAATAACAACCACCTGATGACATCAACCCCTCCTGGCCAAGATTACATTCACTTAAGGTGAATGGGAACATGAAGCATCCAAGAAGTTGACTGGGCGAGTTATTCAACGTTTTTTTTTACTCTTGGCCATCTTTACATTACATTAGTGCAAGTTGACTTGGACAAATGCTCATGATTGTTTTCTGTGTTGAATGATTTAGTGTTATCATGAAAGTGTTTTGGATTAACATTTCATTTTCTAAGCTGGAATCTCCTCCAAAACCAACTGCCTCCAAAGCATTTGAACCCCACCCCCGGTCATGTTTTCCCATTTGAATTTAAAATGCAGCAAGTAGTTTTTCAGTTGGACAGAGTATCCTGTGCCTTATTACAATTCTTAAAAATCAACCTTCAAATGATTAAAATAACATTTTCCAGTTTTTTGTAAAATACTTCAATTGAAAATTTCATAAGAGGGAAATAAAAACTTAAGGTGCACAATAATTCATACAAATGTAATAAAAACAAGTGTAAAACTATCATCTCTCACACCTACTGACACACGTGCACACGCATGCATTTCAGTCTTCAGCACTGTTGCATATTTGAAACCGTGTGGTAACGGCAGCATGTGATTAAGACCTAATGTAGTCAGATGACTTAAGTTAACCACTGTCTGAGTTATGGACAGCTTTTTTTAGATGCTTCAGTCTCAGCTGATAATCCCTCCAGAACAGAGTCTGAAGCCCCTTTGTTTGGATGAAAATGTAACCCATTCAATGCTAACATTTTCCCTAGCATGAAAATATCCAAATCTGGTGCAAGTGATATTCGTTTAATCCAACCAAGAATACAGTATTTTTTAGAAGGTTGAATTTCACAGCAACAACTGTGTATTTTGTTATGTTATTTGTAAATGTGCTGTTGAAAGAACATGAAATCCAGTGCTGAATTCATTTGTCAACAAGATCTTGCATTGATGTTGGTAGAGTCTGACCGCTGCACAAGGCCTTCTCCAGCACGTCCCAGATTCTCAATGAGGTTAAGGTCTGGACGCTGTGGCCAATCTGGACTCATCAGACCAGTTTTTAACAATGCGTTGAACAGTCCTTAACCCAGTTTTAGTTGTTTCTACAATCTCCTTAGATGTTTTCTCTGCTTGCTGCATGCCAAAGATCTGACCCTTCTGAATCAAACTTCTTTTCCATGACCACCAGATGTGTCTCTCCACATGGTTGTTAAAGAATTCCGAGTCGGCTCATTGCACCAGTTGGGGTTAAATAACATGTCACCCATGCATTAATTATCCAATAGGAAGCTCCTACTGATTAGCTTAGTTAAAGCCAGGTGGTGATTTATTTTTAGCGAGGCAGTGTACCTTACCATTGGATTACACTAAATTTTGTTTATTTACACAGGGCCAATTCACAAGGGGTGTGATTCCAATTGAACCTACTTATCAGTGCATTGAGTTCAGTTAATTATTCCAGTTTAAAGTTTTCTAAGGAAACCCAGCAGATCGCGTGGTCACTTCCTTGTTGTGTCCGTACATTTAAACCAGTCCCTCACACCGTCGTTAAATGTTTAGTTTTGGTGTCCTAAAATTTTAAATGGTAGATGGCTTCCTGAACAGCCTTATTTCAGAGAAACCTTTTCTTCATTCACTCCACTGATTAGCCAACAGCTAGTCTGAGACATACATATAATATTTCTGAATGTAGGACCACCCGTTTCTCAAATTTTACTATTTTAAGGCAAAAAAAAAACTTTTTCCACCACCTCTGTTTTGGCTGTGTCACATATCTCCCCTAGACAATCCAAAAATGGGAAAAGAGGTTGAGCTCAGGGAGGGACTTTGAGGGTGAGATCGAACAAATGAACCATTGTAACTACTAGCTAACTGAGCTAACCCCAGAGCTAAGATGGAGCTCCCGGGCAGCTGACCCATGCGGCCGTCTGGCTTCCTGCAAGACTGTAGTTGCCTGTGGAGCTCTAATGTGGACTGTAAAAATACAAGCAGTACCTCAGACCGCTGTGATCGGAGCGGGGCACCCTGGTCTCTGAAGTGAGGTCATACTCCGCTCCTTCGCCACGGTCGGAGACCAGAGAGACATTAGCTACATGCTAACCCAACGCTAACAAAGTTTTTCAGGCGCTGTTAGTGAAAAGAAAACAAACACTCAGAGTTGTCATGACGATATACTAGATCTATTAAACTTAAAATGTTTTTTTTAAACCAGGCTGTAATGCAAATTTAGTTGACCGTCGTTCAACATTAGCCAATAGCGTTAGACATTTGCTTAAGTACAGATGTGTGCACGAGCATTTGAGGAGGGACATACCTAGACAGATGCACAGTTGGAGACCTTTCTCACAGACAAAATACATCTTTAAAATATATATAAATTATTAAACCACACAGTGTGAGAATATTAATCGTAAAACAGTGTGTTTTTGCTCTGTTTGTCAGCTAGAGGCATTGCTTTTGTTCGTAAATAAAAAAGAGGTGAGAGTGGTTTATGGTCTGATACATTTGTCAGCCTCTAGATCAGGGGTGGGGAACCCTGGTCCACGGAGGGCTGCTATCCAGCATATTTTAGTTTCAATCCTGCTTCAACACACCTG